GAGTCAGAGGGACCCCGCGAGGCAGGAAAGAAACCTGGTGGCCCTGTCGTAAACAAGGAAGCTACAGAAAGGTCACAGAGAAATGGAATGAAAAGATCATGACGTCTCCCATGAACAATGTGAAGCCCCCTTGTGTGTACACATTTGGTATTCTATGTAATCACATGTAAACGTTTGCCATTTTACCACTTTTCAGTGTACAATTCAGTGACATTACACTGACCCCTCCCCAGTCGCAGGTCTTTTATCTCCCTAACCAGAAACGTGGTCTCCTTAAGCACACCATCTCCCTCTTCCTCCAGCTCCACAGTGAACCAGACTGGTCTGCAGAGCTGTGCCTGCTCTAGGTAGTTCCCGTAGCGGCTGGCTTCACTCCACGTGCTGGTCTCAAGAAGCACTGCTTCTCTTTGCGGCTCCCTTGTCTGAGCTCCATTGTAAAGGCGCGAGTGGAGACATTGCAGGTTTTGTCTGCACCACTACAGTAAGGGGTGCCTCGCCACACAGCAGATCACAGTAACTTTCGGTTCCCCAGGACCCCAAGTGGGATTGTGGGTTTGGTGCTGGGCTGCTAACTGCAAGGTCAACAGGTCAAACCTACCAGCGCTCCCCAGGAGAAAGGTGACTGAGTGCGCCCATACGGAAACGCTCTACTGGGTCACTTGAGTTTGAAAAATATGTATCTACAAAAGGTGTGCTTACACTACCCTCTGGCCTACTGTGATAGCTGGGTTTGCTGTGTGGGTGATTAATCAGGTCGGACTTTGATCGGAAGACAGAGAGATAAATGGTTCTGCAAGGCCTACCGCTCTCTTGCTCTCTGGTGATCGGGCCAGCATTCTGCTGCTTTGGCTAGTTCTCGGCCTCAACCTGTGAGCTACGCTCCCTGTGGGTCAGGCCAGCACATGGATCATGTCGCTGCAGCTTGAGAGTCCTTCAAGACCTGCTTCGCCACTACTGGCTGGTGGATCCTGTGGCGTTGCATTGCTTGAGTTCAATACCCCACCCCACCCCCAATCCGGGCCTGCTTCACTAAGTTCCCGTGCCATTGACTATTGCTGACCCACCCTGCCGTCTGCTGCCTGTGGGCAGACTCTGCCTGAGGGAAGACTCTGCTGTCTGTTTCCTTGGCTTTGGACCAAAGCCCCCTCGTGAGTTGAAGGAGGTGCAGTATATTAACTGTTCCACACAAATGAGTTGAACGGAGCCCTCTATACTGTTGTGTGCACTAATTGGCTGGTAAATTCCTTCTCGCTGTATAAACTTAGCCTTTTAAATATATATAATCATAAATGTCCTGTTTTTGTTTCTCTAGAGAACCCTGCCTAACACACCTATGAAAAAGTTGAAAATGGTGTGAGAATTGTCAAAGTGTGACAGAGAAACAGGAAGTAAACAAGCACATGCTATGGGGGTGATGACCATAGATGTGGATGCTGGGGTGCCACAACAAGCACAAACAAGGCATGCGTTCACAGAGATGCACATCTGATGTTACCCCCTTAGGCTTCTGGGATGGCTGAAGATGTGACTGCAGACTACGACAGTCGTCTGCCGTTTGGAAACCACTCTGATTTGGATAGGACTGGGAAGCTTAGTTTCTAGCATGTCTTTCCTGAGAACTTTTAAAAATAACATATCACGTGTTTGTTTGTGAGGGGTAAAGAAAAGGTTCAGATTTTAGAAGAAACTGCTCTCACACGAAGGAGGCCACCTTCTAGGAGCAGCAGCATCTTGGAAATCATTTAGAACTAATGAGGAGCTGGAGCAGCAGCACCGTCAGAATGGACAGAGCAGACACTTGTTAACGGATTTTTAAAACAGTAACACATTTAGAAGGAAACAAGAATACAAAAAGGTACACTTCACCTTTAATGCCTGCCCGTTTCTAAATATGTACTAGTACCATAGAAACTCATGTCTCCAACGTTCGAGCGAATGCTGCAGAATCCCTCTGTTGCACTGACCCTGGGCCAGGGGCGTGACACACACCCACTTGGCGCTCCAGGCTGCGGGGCTCAATGAGAAATCTTCAGCAGGTTTTGGGACCTGTCTCCGCAATCTTCCATCATGTACGTGAAAGCAATGCCCCAACTCAAAAGAGATCCCGTTCACATGTGAAATCTCAAGATGCAAGTCCCGGGCGGGGGCCAAGCCCCCACAGCCCAAGTGGGAGCTGGTGCCGTGGATTTGAAGTGCTTGCTTGAAGCAGCCTCTGGGCAGGAGGGACCCATGACAGCAGCGTGGCTGATGGCTTTAGCAGTCACACAATCCTTCCTTGAATGTCCAGGGTCAGTGCAACCTGCTCCCATCAGGGCTGGGGGTAGACGTATGAAAGAGAATCTCTGTGTGGTCTTTCCTGCAAAGAAACAGCAGTGACGTTTATTACCCAGCCATGGCGGAGGAATTCTTGTAAACGGGTCTCAGGCAAGCAGTACCTGTGTCTTTCCCCGACTCTACTGGAAGGGTCAGTGTGCAAGACGAGGCTGCCAAGCCACAGGACAGGCCGTCCACTCAGACCGCTGCACACAGCTTTGCTCACATACAATTATGACACCAAACGGGCTGTAATCAAGGCGTGCTTCCAAAGCCTTCCCTCTTTCGATCCGCATTCATTCTGCCTGCGGACCCACTACGCCAAGGCACACACTGCTTCTTGCCTCGGAGCATCCATCAGCCCTTCTGTGTCCCACCCCCGCACCACACGGACACATACAAACTGCACCAGGGAACCGGCCGGTGGGGGGAGGGGGGGAGGAGCGCGGGGCAGTTCCTGGAGCTGCAGGGTTCAGTCTGTCTCCACTCGTGTGGGTCTAGGCTCCAGGAGCCTCCGGCACTTACAAACGGGAAGTCTTTTTGCTCTAGGGCTCGACTCCTGTTCCTGCTGAACTGAGCCAGTGTGTGAAATGAGAACTGATATCAGCTCAGTAGGCACCGGAGGACGGGTCCAAATGACAGCCCGCAGCAGTGCCTCGCTGAACTCCGGGCCGACGTCAGCTGGTGGCTGCAGAAGACACAGAGACCTAGACTACAGATACAAGAGAGAGTTCACGGCGCTCGCGGGAGCACACCGGGCACTCGGCCCTGACCACACGTGCTCAGCCACAAACACAGCTTACCAGACCTTCCTGGTGAACCTGGCTTTACATTTTCATAAGAGTAATTTTTGGTGCTTTCAATACATTTGACCTTTCACAGAAAGATGACTCAATCAGTCGACTTTACTTCAGGAGGACACACTTAAAAGGATTCTGGAATATTCTGTGCATTCTTGACCAGAGCAAGGCTGTCTTTGGCTGAGGTCTCTCTCGTCCTCCAGAAAGGTGCTCTCCAGACCCGACCACTCCCAAGTGGCCGTCCTGCTCAGCGCCAGCAACGCCTCTGCCCAGCAGCTCCAACTTAACCGTCCCCATCTCACCTTCTCTTCAGGTGCAGAACTTAGCCACTGTGAACAAAGCGGAAACCAATCACTGTTCACCAATCAGCTAAGCTCTGCACCTTGTCAGAGAGGTCACCGGTCTGGGCAAGGCTAAGGGGTCGCAGCACATCTTCTGCAGTCGCTGGCTTCTCGTTTCCGAAGGAGAGCTCTGCCGTACGCCCGCCCCCAGCTGCAGAGAGAGGAAGAGCTATTGTCTCTGGAGGCGCAGCCAGGGTCGTGGTTGCGTGGTAATCCCTGGCAATGTGATTTTAATCTTAAGTCACAAATCAGCATGCCAGGAACCCAAGCAGCCAGAGCAGTCCGGAGCACCGCCGCCACGCTGGCCCCTTCTCCCGCCACCCGGACACCAGCCACCTGCGGGCCTGTCCACTGCCCCTCAGAAGCTCGGCTCTTGCTTGCAGTCCTAATTTTGTAAATCAAAAGGGCTCGGGGACACTTAAAATTATCAGTGCCGCTGTGGAACCGACCACGTGGCGGAATAATTAACGAAGAAGGTGGCCCTCCAGCCATTCAGTGCCTCTTGGGCTGGGGGGCAAGCCCCCTCCATAATGGTCAGCACGGCCCTGCGCCTCTGCCCCGGGCTAGTGCACCGGGGCGGCCTCCGTGTGCTGCACACATTCTTCTAGAGGCCCCTTGGAGCAGGGACAGGAGTAGAGACCGTGGTGGGGGGAGTGGGGGAAGCAAATGTCCCCGTCTGGGCCAAAAGGCACACTAGGGCACCCAGGACCCTGACAGCCTCCAAAATTTGGAGCAGAGGAAATGATCAAAGGGGTCATTTGCTTCACTGTAGTCTCACCCACTTCAAGCAACACAAACTCCATGTGAAATAAAGAATCTACAGAGAAACTTGCCTTATAATGGCTACCACACAAAGTGGCTACAAAGTAATGGGGCCGCTGTCTGTCCCACCAGCCATGCCTGCAGACAGCTGCTCTGCCAGAGAGCGCCCCCGGCCTTCCTTTTCCTATGATCAGGGTCCTGATGCCACTGGACAAATAAGATCCCACTCCACGAAACGATAGTTTGCCCTTTCTTCCTCTTTTTAGCATTAGATTTTCTCTGATAAATAAGACGTAAAGACACAGTAGGCAGGAATGGTTTTCATATGAGTAAAACATTACTATAAGCAAACTAAATGTTAAAGGGTTAAGAATACCAACCAAAAATAATGTTCATTAAAATTCTATTTTAGAGAAGCTATATAACGAGAATAGGGAAAAGCCAGATATTTGATATGTGATATTTTTCTTTCTTTTTAAAAAATATTTTTCAAAAGACACAAAATTAGCTATATCCTATGATATAAAACCTTGAAGGACAGAAGTGACAATGATTATTAGAGAAAAGGGGTTCATGATTACACATAGATAGCTCTATTTACACAACTACACGTACCACTACCAACGTTCTCTTACAGCACTGAAACCCAAGTTTACAAACTGAGGGGGTAAAGCTCATAGGTCAATTTCCAGTCAATGGAGGTGACAATTTAAGTTAATACAGGTACCCGCTCCAACCCTTGACCTTCAGGACAGTGAGATACAGCTGATACCAAGTACCAGACGTGGTGTCACTGAGTGGCTGTGGGAGGGGGTGGTGGTGGTGTATTGTTCACACAGCACAAGTGTTAAGGCCAGGTCAGGCTGTGACAGAACCAGGGAGCCTCCCAGTCCCATTGGATGGCCAGATAGGGCGCACCCACAGAGCGCAGGGCTTGGGAACCAGCAGTTCCCACCACAGCCTCTCAAAGTGTTGGTGTGATTTCTGGCCCCACATATAACACGTGTTGCAGCGGCCACAGCACCTCCTGCACGAGCTATCCTGCACTTGTGTGGGGAGTTGAGGCTTCCCATGACTACTCTGGCCAGAGTGAGGCTCTGGCCACTTGGGCCGCATGCTACTGGAAGGCAGCTCTCCGTCCACTCTCCTCAGCAGCCAGAGGGACGGAAACCAAGCTGCAGGGGCTCCTGGGAGGACCATCTGGTTAGAACCAAACAAAGGAGGAAGAAAGCGAGAGAATCACCTCTTCAAAACAGCATCTCAGCCACCACCTGGGCAGAGGCTCTGTCCATCTGCGCCCTGGTCAGCTCGAAGCACCTGCGGGCCAGTTGTTGCTGCTCTGAGTCCTCACTCACCATCAGCTCCCCATAGAGGTAGACGCCCATGCCCTGTGAGGGGAGCAAAGTCCAGCAAAGGCGAGGCAAAAAGTGTCTGTGCGTGCACCCCCACCTAGGATGCCCACTTCCCATCAACTTGCTGGTCTGCAAATACCAAAACCCCAGGATAACACAGTCAGTGGAGTGGCTGTCCTGCTGGTATCTGCACTTTCAGTGCACTTAGGATCAGGGTGAGGTGCAGAGGGCTGGCTGTAGGGAATGGTTGGGAGAGACAGGGCCACTATGACCAGTCTGGCACATAGAGGCCCAAGTACACGGTTCGGAGACTTGGATTCCTCCTGGAGTGGAGTGAATTCATGAAATCCACCCAGCACCTCCCATGCAGCCGCAAGGGGCCGACTCAGCACGCTGTTCGCATGCTCACTGCCCCGGCTCCCAGGACACACAGCACACCTGTGGCTTTCTGACCCCGGGCCAAATCCAGGGGCGTGCACACCGGCCTTTTCCTGGTCTGACCATAGGGAACAGCACTCCCTGAGAGCCGAGGGCAGAAGCCTTTCCTATTCAACCTCAGCTCTGCCACAGATAACATTCTGCTGAGCGAAGGGAGGATATATCAGAGGCAGCACCCATGAGAAGCTAAAACGCCTGCCGGAAGAGCTGAGAAACGCCAAGGTGACGGTCCACTCCACACGTACTGCAGTTAATTCTGGTCGTCAGAACAGATCGCATGGGAATATGGTGCTTCTACTTTGTCCTTCTAAGGCTTCCCGCGCGCCCCTCTAGTTTTTCAAACACCTCTTGTGCCATTGTGCAAATGTGACATTTCTTCTGGTACAAAGCCATGTACTTTTCTTTGCGGGAATAATGCACCCTCATTTGCTGGCTGCCCCCGGTCCTCAGAACCCTATCAAAAGTCCTTCTGTCTGCCTGCCCAGCCCTCACTCCCACCCCACTGAGAATCGGCTCCACCCTACAGCCCACGGAGCCCGACAGCCTGTTCCAGGAAGGAGACAAGGGCCGCCTTCCAGCAGGACAGAGCACCCATGGCAGACATGCACACAATGTGTGGGAGCAGGCCGGTGAACTGGGAGCATTCTGGGAAATGAGGGGCAACCCCCTGCCATGGAATAGAGCCCCAGACCAAAACCAAACAAGACATCCACTACACTGAGTCGATTCAGACTCAGCGACGCTGCACAGGCTTTCCGAGGCTGTGTCTCTGTACAGGAGTCGACAGAACTCCAAATTCCTGCCTTGCGTCAACTCTGAGCAGAGAGCCTAATTTTCCTTCTTCAGAGCATCAGGTGGGTTTGAATTACCAACCTTGCAGTTAGCGGCCCAAAGCTTACCTGACAGCGCCACAGTCTCCTACTAGAGTCAACTATCAGTCACTAAATGGCCACTCTCCAAACTTATAAGAACCCCAACGCTGTGTTCAATTAATCCATGAACGTCTCAAGTGCTTTGTGTGTATTCACACAGCCTCCCTCTCGGCTCCTGGGAGGTGAACTACTCTCTCTGGTGAATGGTGAGGAAGGGCCGGCCCTCAGGCCTGCATTCTTTGGTGCCAACACAGACAAAGACCTCTTCAACCAACTGGGCTTCCCCATCTGATCCTCTCCCAACACTAAGCTACAGCTTAAGCCTGAGATCCATTCGGAGCTGGAGGGAGCGCTGGTACTCAGTACACTCAGGGAAAGAGAGCTTTTTGGTAGTTAATTAAGCCTTTGACCCTGCCCACTGGAAGAAGCGAACTCACCTGGTCCCCCTGCAGGAAGTCCTCCACCTGTCCGTAGCCTCGTGTGTACTTGTGCTTGACAATGAGCTCACACCACCGATGGCGAACCTGGAGAAACAAAAGAAGGTCCAGTGAGCAGCTAAATGGCACACTTGCAGATGCTAACAGTTAAGGACCTTCCTGGGACACAGAGTTACTCTTGGAGGCCATCTGTTTTAAAGGCAGAAACCACATTCCCACATAGGCAACTGGTGGTCACTTCCAGGGATAAGAGGCATGCTTCAGTGACTGAGGTACCTCACTTTAAAATATGATTTTCCAAGGTAACAGGTAAGTGTGAAACACGACTGACCACTTAGAAGGAACCCCCAAGCAGGCTGCTTAGTCCTCTGACCTGGCCAGCCTGTGCTCTGTAACAGTGATGTGGAGTCCTTGGTGGAAGGACAAGGTGGCCAGCTGCTAACTACAAGACTCGAGGCTTGCGGCTATAGAAGTGCCTCACAATAAAGGCCTGGAGTTCTACTCTTGAAAAATCAGCCTTGGAGTCTCATATCCTTATCACAGCAGTCTCGGCCAGCATCTATCCTTCCATGAATGACTAGGCAGGCTCTGTCCTCAGGCCAGGGAATCTAATCTGGTCTCCAGCAAGGAGGTAAGCCCGTCTGGATCCACACTCTCGCCTCCACGCATCATTTCCTAGAAAAGGCCACCTCTCAGCTGGGGTCAATTTCTCTGTGGAGGGAGAACCAATCTGTTCCAGGGAATCCCAGTGAGCACTGAGGGAAAGTCAAGTTGGGGGTAGCATGTCTGTCTCAAAGACAGGGATTCCACTTCTGATGATGAGTAAACTGGGGGGTGGCGGGGGCGTGTAGGATGACAAAACCTTCCACTGGGAAGCACACTTATCTTCACTTATATAGACACCCCCACTCTCCCCCAACCCGCCAATGGGAGAAGATGCCCAGTGTTATTTTCCTAATCATGCACTTCTGACTCGGGCTACACACTAGAGACACCAGAGACTTTGGAGAACACTTTCCATAGGCCACACCAGAATAAGCTGAGTTGGAAACCCCACTAAGCGAACCAGACATTAACTTAAACCCACTGTGGAAAGAAGATTAAAGGACCTGCAAAAGCCTTTGGACTTAAGGCTGAAGTCAGTGCCTGAACATAAGAGGAAGGAGGCCACTGTGCCAAGGTAATGAATTACGAAGTCAAATCTCTTGCTGTGAGACTGGTCCAAAAGGGGAAAACAACAAGAAAACCCAGTCACTGGAAACCCCCACAGAGCCGAGTTCTACTCTGAGACATGTGGGGTGCCAGGAGTCAGTGGAGACTAGACGATCTCCCCAGTTCTCTTGGGTAATAACCAATTTTGATTCAACCCATTCAGACCAATTCTAATTATACACAACAAGAGGAGGATGCTACTCTGGGTTCTTCTGAGAGGAGGCCAAGCACCCCTCCATAGCCGCAGTGTGCGGCTTTGCATGGAGTGAAGAACAGGCCGGCTAACTGCATGCTAGTGTGTCTGTGTGCGGCACATGCGCACGTGGAGAGATTTTTAAATATTGGAGCTATTTTTGGATGCCTGTTTTAAAGACACACTTTACCTAAAGGTTTATTAGCAGCAATCTGACAAGAAAACCTTCCAGACCTTTCTGATGACCATCCAGCCACTCTGAGCCCATGGAGGGGAAAGTTCAGGTGGGGAGAAGGGCGGGCCCTGGGTGACCTGCAGCTGTGTCCTCACGTGGAGGCTCTTCCCACTGGATGAAATCCCTGCAGTGGGCAGCCTCCCAGTGTATGCAGCCTTGATTACAGAGCTCTGCTGGGTTGTGCGGTTAACCTAGGACTGCTAACCTGACGCTTGTCTGCTCCCATAGAGACTTACAGAGCCTAGGAAACCCCACAGAGGGTTGCTAGAGTTCAGAATCGACTTAATGGCAGTAAGTTTGGGGGTAAGTGTTAGTCAGGGTTGACCAGAGAAACAAATTCATACACACTCATGTGTGGATAAAAGAACAATTGTATATTAAGAAAACATCCCAGCCCAGGCCAAGTCCGTAAGTCCGATACCAGTCTATAAATTCGTCTTCAGACTCTGGCAACACACACAATGATGCCAAATGCAGGAAGATCACAGGTCAGTGGGTTGAAAGTCTTGTGGATCTAGAGGTGGCGAAAACATCTCGGCGCTGGCGTGGGTCTCCATGTAGCTCCTCCAGCTCTAAGGCCCTGGCTCCATCAGTGAGCTCCAAGTGGCTTGTCATCAGGAATACGAAGCAGAGAGAGAGAGAGAGAGAGAGAGAGAGAGAGTGTGTGTGTCCCACTTCCAGGGAGGAAGAAAGGAGTTCTCAGAATCCTCAAAAGGCCATGCCCAGACAGAGCCCTCATTGGCTGCAGCCTGATTGA